TCCGCTCATTGAATGTGGACGACCACCAGAAGTGGTGGGAGGTGGCAGTGGACGCGTTGAGACATTACCACCATGAATGAAAGTCGGACCTGTGGAATTAGGTGGCTCAGCAGTTGACTCGAGGAATGAGTTGGTTAGACGCCGTTCCGCCTCATCGTAGATGTCAATACAAAGATCCTAAAGAGACGAAAATTAGAAATTGCTCACAAAGGAAATTTCGGGAAATACTGTGTGCCAATAACACTCAGTTGATCCATTGCTAGGAATGATGCAATAGGCAGGGGGGGGGGGAGGGTAAAATGTATTAAAGACCGTCATGGAATAACAGACGCAGACTTAACAATTGGTGATTTTGTTCAAACCATTCATTTGAATTCACACAGTACGTCTTTAATTTTTTAATAATAACTATTTGTCAATCAACATCTCACCCGAAACAACTATTTTCTTCCATTAGATCCGAGGCTGGCCTATTATATCGTGAAAATCGGTTCAAATTTCATCAACCACTCACACGTTAATTGAATTTGGGAGTGTTGCTAGGTTTTTGCTTTGCAAGTGGGGAAATAGGAAATACTGCGCAAACTGATTTCCAAGTGAGGTAAGAGTTGTCAGTGAGTTGGAAGAACACTTCGAGCATATTGACTATCGAACGAATGGCACTAGCGAGCAGGGCGCATAATTTGAATTACACCTTCTATAGCTGGATGGGCTTCTTGTGTGTAGAGACAGGAGAGTCACAAAAAGTGGGAAAAGTGCGAAAAATTCAAATTGAAAAATCGTAAAGAAATAGGAAGACTGGATGGAATCCAGAAACTTTCAGCCATTTCGGCTTATTTTATCTAGCTTTTTTTGTATTTTTCCAAAGGATTTTTTTGGTCCATTTCAATAATACAAGGTCACCCAACGCTAAGTTACTATTGGCTATTTGGGGTGCGCAATAGACTTACCTCCACGTGGTGCACCCTGGGCAACGTATACTTATACGGCAAAAAGGTCTATTAATTGGCCGTTGACTTCTGACTTCAAACTACTATGACCCGACTGTTTGTCATATTCGACCCCTTTCACAGTACTCATCTTACCTTTTCTCTGCATTTGTGTCTGTCTGTCTCTTTTACATCTGTGGATCATTATTCTGTCTCCCCCTCCCCTCGACTTTTTGTCACTTCGATGTTTCACCTCTCTGTGAAGCCCGAAGTCAGCTAAAGGGCTAATGATAACTATCGAAACTCATGCCATTTGAAATAAACTATTGGCTATTTTACAACGCAGAATTTTTTGGGATTCCACAGAACAGTTTGCAAACGAGTGTTGCTTAAAAAATGTGGACGAATTCCAGGAATTGTAGGGGAGAGGGGTGGAGAAAGAGAGAGAGAACTAGCGTAAGGAGAAGAGATTTAAATATATTCCAGCAGCAATAAAAACGACGTGAACGTAAACATTGGAGTAAAACAACCGCCCATACTTCAAAGTTTGGTCAATTCAAGTAAAAGCTTTTTTCCACGGGAGTAGAGGTGAATGTGCATTTTCGCTTTCGAAAACCAATTCTCAGCGTAACATTCAATCGATTGATTCCAAAAATCCGTTCCTACAAGACGAACCCCTATCGAGGAACTCGAGTTATGTAGGAACTATGGATTTCAAGACTAAAATCCGTAAATTTCAAATTACCCTCCATCAGTTAATGTCGTTTTACGATCTCTCTGTGACCTTCCTTCCGATTCAAGTATTTGGTAAAAATTTGATAAAATATAATGAAAAACATAAAGGTGGTTTGTCCGAAGAAGACAAAACGAAAACACCTTTAAAGATTGCCTCTAAACACATCATCACTCACGACTAAAATTTGTGCATTAGAAGTTTATTGCATGGGGAAATTTCTGGATGGGGCATCGATAGAAACCTCAAACACAAATCCTACCAACAAACAAAATTTATCACATTCCAAAGTCGATCTTGACATTTTCCAGGCTAATGAAATGTCAATGCAGTTTCAATTATCCACGCAATGAAAAAATGTCCAGTAATTAGATGACCTCATTGATTGGGGAAATTGCCCCGATGAGGCGTCAATTTCGCAATTATCGTCTGCACGGAAACCTCGATTTACGACCTTCGTGGTAAGCGGCCAAGCCGTGGCACACACCAACTGCTGCAATAACAGCAGCATACAATCCAAAAATGGGAGAAACTTTGTCCCAAGATTGCTACTAATTCGACGCTTGGAATAGGTTACTCCCTCCCCCAACCACTCCATTAATCCAATTTTGAACTATTCAGCATTGTACTACTGCTTGCGCTCTACTCATATTTCCTAAAGAGGCACAGCAGAATACATATATGTGTATAGATTTTTATTTGATCGATTTATCAATATTTACCATAGAGGCAACTTCCGTGCCTCGGCTTTTACTGGAATTAATTTTGAATATAAAAGAGGTGAAAACCAATCAATCGCGTAGTTTGCCTATTTAACAACAAAGGCTTAAGTGAATGGGCCAAATTCAAGATAAATAAGTAAGCAATTGAAGCAATGATGTTAAGACAGTAAAAATGCCAACTATACTTGTGAGATGCGCGCTAACATCAAAATCAGCCAATCAAATCAATCAAACTAAACATAATAATCGTGAGAATAATAAAGGCGATTGAATATGTAAATATTGATATCGCACAAATATTATTGAATTGAAATAAAAAATAGCACTCCATGAATTATAAGGTAGATAGAAAATGTGGAAATCGCGGGAAGCACTTTCCAACCTTCGAATGCGTTTGTGCAAACGGGGATAGAGAGAGAGAAGCTTAACTAACCGCATTTGCACGCCACTAGAAATTTCCGAAAAACGGGGCCTCGTGCACCGATCAGAGGAATTAGTCATCTCGAATTGGTTGCAGCAATTATAGCCACAACGGTACGCTTGCGTAAAAGCGGATTTAAAAAGCCTGCACAAATGAATGCCACCTATTTGTGCAGGGAAAAACGAAAACATATACATATGCATTTGCGTACGTGTGTGTGTGTGTGTGTGTTCGAGGCCTTTCAAACATTCAGCAAATTAAATAACTGGCCAGTTCGATCAAAAAGGAGGTAGCAGTTGCATATCCGATAATATGTAAAGGTAGCATAAACTGCAAAATATAAAATTTTGGATGCCAAGCCATAGCTATGAGAAAATAGCTTAGAGAACGAATAGGGTGGGGGAGGGGGA